TTACTCATTTTTCTCTGGAATTATATATTCTTTTAATCCACCACAAATTGTCATTTTTCTGACGGTTCCAAGTCATCAAAACTAATTTCAGAGGCTCACCTTTTCTTAATTAAAAACTGATTTAAATGTTTCCAAATGAAAAATAGGACCTTTGAAATTTTTGTCTTTAACTGAGATGAATGTATTTATATGATTCATGTAATGGACCTCATCAAGAGTGGGACAAAGCTGTTGTTGGAGTCGTTAGAGTGTATTTATAAATTCTGCAGGAATTTTGTAACATGAAGTAAACGATTTGTTTTTATTGCATTGGAGGTTTTCGCATGAAATTCGTGCAGGAAGCCATGTTCTTTTTTTTTTTTTAACCCTAAACTGTGTGAAGGATCATTTATTATATATATAAGTTACTTAGACAGGTTTTTCTTTGGGACAACTAGTAATTCTTTTATTTATCATTATTTTGTCTTATATGTTTCCGTTAGTTAATCCATGATCAACTCATCTAAAATCGTTTTCGTTGGTAAAAACCCGAAACCAAGCACTAACAGAGGATGTAAACGATAATTTTTCCAAAGCTAATAATAAAGATGCTTAAAAAATTCATTTTCTTTACTAAAACATAAAATTGATACTATATTTGATTTAAGTTAGTTGGTGTTTAACGATAAAAGTTGCACATAGTAAAAAAAGAGAAAAATGTTATTTGTAGAACAAATTCTACAATTAAGATAAAGAAAGAGAGAAAAGAGGGAAACGTGACATAGAATAATTTAATGATGTAATGAAAAAATATATATAAACACATAGTATTACATAAATTTTTATATGGATTATTGTATTTATATTATCGCATCTAAAAAAATTATTGACACTTTAAATGATTTGTACTATAGTTTAGTTATATCTATCATTTTTCAGGAGGTGTATTGAGATGAAAATTGATTAAATATTTAATATTTTTTATCTGATAAGAGATATATATATATATATATATATAACACTTTTTCACCGTATTGACTCCTATAAAAATAAAATAATATCTTTAATATATCATGACTTTATGCGCCTAAAATGAGAATCAAATTATAGTCTTATTAAAGAAATATAAAATATTAAATTATTTGACTTAATGATATTTAAAGTATAAAATACAAAAAATATAGTTTCAAAAATCAGAAGTGAGTGTAATATATAATATAACTACCTCGATCAAAAGAGAATGTATTATTTCAACTCAAATATATTTACTAACTTTCTTAATTCATATAATTTGGAACATATTTTCTAATATATTATTTCTAATGTAATCTAATTTGTTTGTTAAATTTTATTTAAAAATTATAAAATTAAATCAAAATAAATATTCATTAAATAAGTTGTGGAATTTAAAAAAAAAATATTTTTTAATGAATTTTAATAGATTGTGAAAGGAGTTTGGATGAAGAGAGAACTACTTATTTAGAACTTTATGTATTTCTTCATAGAGGCGCGAAGACTTGCTTAACAGTACACCCAAACTTAACTTGGTGTATGGTTGAGATTACTTGTCACGGTAAATTATTATAAAGTCATATATATCACAATTTACGTACAACATAATATATCTCAATTTTTTTCAAATAAAACAAATTGATCGACAATGACATTTAGAGGGGAAAAAAGAGAAAAAAGGAAATTCACAATCTACATTTTTTCTTTTATATATCAGAGATCATTGTCTAAATTCGTTGCACCTAATTTTTAAAAGAAATATTCATATAATCACTAATACATAGGTAAACTTGGAATTTAATTTTTTTTTAGAGGATGGAATTTAATCTATTATTGTCGGCTTAGGAGTAAAGTTTACGTAAAGTCGCAAGTTTAAAGACAAAAATATACATAAAATTTAAGTGATCAAAGTTAATGTACACATAATAATACATTGATTATATATATATATATATATATATATATATATATTATAAGATAATAAAGTACGAAAGATTCACTGTTTTTTTTTTTTTTGAGGGGACGAAAGATTCACTGTTAAAACTAATTTTGATGAAAAATCGTAAAAAGCACACATATTTATTTGATAAAAACTAAAACGGCATTTTTTTTAATGAATTTATTACTACAATTAAATTAAGTACAATAGTACATTAGGTTTTCAAAAACAGTTTTACTTGTTTTTCTTTTATTTTAGTATCGATTGTCGTATGGTACATGTGTCACTTGGATGCGGTCGTGGGTTCAAGGTCAATCCGGAGATTTTTAATGTTTTAGGCTAACTGAGAAAATGATATTTCATATTTTGAATAATCATTTTCTAGTATTTATTACCCTAAATTCATTTTAGGAATTATTATTTAACAGTAGTATTTTTAATTATATTTACTCAACTACGCTACATTTTAAAGAATTTTTCTTAACTCGTATCTCTTTTAATATATTATTGTATTTCTAAATTTTCAGTTTCAATATTTTGTTTTAAAAATAAACAGTTAAAAATGATTTTGTATCATAATCTAAATTATTTATCACAAATATAAAATATAATTTATATGATAAAATATTTTATTACTACATGTTTTAATTATAATATATTAATATACCCATATTTATTTATTTTAGTTTTTAGTTTTCTAAAAAAATAGTTTATTGTATGCATTAACATAGATTAAAATATTAATTTATTCATAAATATGCATAAATTACACTATCAATTATTCATTTTCCTAAAATTGCAGGTAAGTTTTCATTAAGAAATTAAAACATCATCCATTAGTTGAATAATGACTTTTTTTTTTATAATAAATATTTATATAATTTTAATTATATAATATTTTATTTTAATATTTATATAAACTAAACATAAAAAATAATATCCTATAAAAATGAGACCTTGAATGATTGTCTATCTTATGTCATGTTATGCTTAGGATAATCATTAGTAGACATTAACCGATCATATATTAATACTTTAATATTTAAAGTATAAACCAATATATTAGAAGTGTAAGCAGATAACGATTTACTTGCGAATTTAATCTACACAAATCAATTTAATTACATTTTTATATGTTGGGTTGATTAATTTTTTATATTAATTGATTATATTTAGATTATAACGAGTCAAGTGATTTCTACCAAATAAAATTATTAAATTAAATAAAAAATGCTACACACAATAGAATACACAATACACTTTAAATGAACTTATACCAAATTTTACTTTTAGTTAATGTAGACAAAAATGGTGACTAAAATTGAAGAAGATATAAAGCAAGAAAAATAATTTAGTTAATGTACACAAAAGTGGTGATTAAAATTGAATAAAAAAAAAATCTGAAATCCGACCTGAGCGTGATGGAGAAACATTCAAGAAGATTGTATACATGAAATGATTGAAACTTAAACTAAATTTAAATTCCTCCAACATATTATCAATGCAATCATATGGTAATTAAGAATGTAGTGAAGGACTGTGATGGTGGTTAATTATCTTTGGTCTATTGTTGAGAGAATCATGGGTAAGTAAGTGACTTATGTTACTCGAGTCTTTGAAATTGTGATGACTAGGCTTTGGCTAAGATAACCGGAAGAAAAAGAAAGTAATATGACATGTGAAATAGTATAGATTTTGTAGGACAAAAAATGTGTGGCAAAGGTGTGTATGTTACGCGTAGAGAGAGGATAGAACGTAAAGAAGCCAAGTTGGTCTTAGGAGGAAATATAAAGTCATAGTTTAATAATACATGCAACGTGGAAAATGTTTGAAATACCTAACTTTAAAACAAAGAACCATGGGGACCACATACAGAGCACCCCACTACTTGTCTATTCTATTTATTTTTAAAATAAAAAGTATTTCAAAAGAAACAAGATAAGAAAGCAAGACGACAACATCAACATGTCTTCGGTCAACACACACCTTCTACCTTATATTAATTAATTAATTCATTTTATTCTTTTCTCTTAAAAAATAATTATCAAAATTTTATTCATATAACTTTCTTTGACATTTCACAAGTTGTTTAAGTTTATAATTATTTTTAATGTTATGAAAATGGAAATATTTATATAAAATTTATTAAATTGTTTAGTTCTTTGGGAGTGAAATTACCCCTACATACTATGCAGAGGTGGTAATAATCTTGTTTGGGGGCACTGGGCCCAGTTGAATACCCAAATTAAATTATTATTATTATTTTGTATGATGAAGAGGTGTGGTTTGACTTGAAAACTTGATTTCCATCAACTTTAATGCATCAAGAATTCACCGTCGTCGTAGAAACAACAAATGGATCCACACGTTCATCTTATCTCTAGAACCCTTACTAGGCAAACAACAACAATGAATTCAACCAACTTGAAGCTTGATTTGATAATTAGTTTATTAAATTTACTTCATAAATTAAATAATCTCATATTAACTTTAAAATTAGATTTGATAAATAAATAAACTAAATTTGAGTATAGATTATTTTTTAAAATATATAAAATTCAAAAAAAAAAATTTAAATTAAGTCAAATTTGAGTATATTAAGGTGAATCAAATATTATAAAATTAAGATTTGAATTCGACTGAACTCAACTTATTTCTAATTTTAAACAATAATAATAAATAATAAATAAGATTTAATGATTAATATATCATCAAATACGTAAATTAATTATCGTTATCCGTTAATTTTAACTTAAATGATTTTGAATTAATTTAGACTTAAATCATATAAAGATATCTTACATGTTTGAAATATAATTTTTTATTTATAATAACTCAAATATCACCCATTTTAATTGATGATACAACATACAAGTGGTCTGACGGGAAAAAAAAAAAAAAAAGTTTAATGTGGGAATGTTCGTGCATGCAAGATAGTATTAAATTAAGCAAGTGGGTTATTATTTGATATTTCCCATGTGTCTCTTTCCACCGAGTTTCCTTGCTCAACTTGAGTTCGTGTAGTGCCGCTTTGGCCACCTAACTCTCTATATATATGCTTTATCTCAGTTGGTGTTTCTGAAAATTTCTGGTCTTTCTCCTTGCATAACACCAAACTTTGAAGAAAGAAAAATAGTGGGTCGGTTTAGATTTGAGCAACAACTTTTGCTACTTGTTTGAATTTTGTTGCAAGGCATGGCTTGTTCATCATGGATTAACACTTCGTTGGATCTCAACATAAATCCCCGCAGAGTTCATGAAGAGGTTCCCGTAAGTATAGAAGTAAATATCCAATAGTATATCATTCTTTGGGAGCATTTACAGAAGAAGCTCTTATGGGATTTGAGGAGTAATTCATTCATTGTTTTGTGTTGATTTCAGAAGGAGGTAGAAAGCAAGCTTTTCTCATTGGGAATGCCCAAGTTTAACGTGGAAGAAGAGGTTAGTACTAGTTCAGCTCAGCCAATTATTTATTAATAAGTTAATTAGTATTTTTGTTTTCTTCTTCAAGATTGTAGAACAGCTATTAATTCAAGAATATGAATGTGAAAGTACATATTTGTTTGATTATGAACCTTTTGGCTAAGACTCTATGAATGCTATTTCAGTCAACTAGTGACTTGGAGGAGGAACTGAAAAGGGTGACTGCAGAAAACAAGAAATTGTCTGAAATGCTCTCAGTGGTGTGTGAAAACTACAACACTTTGAGAAACCATTTGATGGAATATATGAGGAAAAATAACGAAAAGGAGGTTAGTCCAACATCAAAGAAAAGAAAGTCTGAAAGCAGCAACAACAATAGCACTTGTCTGATGGGAACAAACAATGGAAATTCAGAGAGCAGCTCCACTGATGAAGAATCTTGTAAGAAACCAAGGGAAGAAACCATCAAAGCAAAAATTTCGAGAGTTTATGTCAGAACCGAAGCATCTGATACTAGCCTTGTAAGAGTAAATCTATCACAGTCCTACTATTTATTCATTCATTCTTGTGTTATTACTAATTAGGCATAGCATAGAGATTATTTAGGGGTAACTGTTTGACATGCTTTTCATTGTGTGTGGTTTCAGATTGTGAAAGATGGATATCAATGGAGGAAATATGGACAAAAGGTGACCAGAGATAACCCTTGTCCTAGAGCATATTTCAAATGCTCTTTTGCTCCAAGCTGTCCTGTCAAAAAGAAGGTAAATTACATAGCCAAGTGCTAACTAGTGTTATTTGGTCTTTTTATAAGAAATAAGTTATAGTGTAAAATACATTATAACTTGTTTATGCAATAACACTTGTTTTTATAACAAGGACTAGAGGTAGTAACTAGGAAGTGGTTATTCAAATTTTAGTAGGGAATTGGATCTCAAGCTAAGTTGGTTTTGTTTTGGTGATTTAGGTGCAAAGAAGTGTGGATGATCAATCTGTACTTGTTGCTACTTATGAAGGGGAGCACAACCATCCTCAGGCTTCACAAATGGAGGCAACATCAGGTTCTGGCCGTAGTGTGGCCCTTGGTTCAGTGCCTTGTTCAGCATCTCTCACCTCTTCAACTCCAACACCTGTTACCCTTGACTTGACAAAATCTAAGGGCAGTAATGATTCGAAGAGCACAAAACCTAAAGCAGATTCACCTAAAGTACCACAGGTTTTGGTGGAACAGATGGCTACTTCTTTGACCACAGACCCTAATTTCAGAGCCGCACTTGTTGCTGCCATCTCAGGAAGACTGTTGCATAAAAATTAAATGGAAATTTGGTGAAGTGTAGGTGGCTAGTTTAGTGTCAATTGTTAAGTATTTCCATAAAATAGAGATCATTCTTTAGAGCAAGGATCTCTATGTAAATACAGCATGGAAGGCTCACAGATTTGATCCTTTTAATTGGATTTAAAGTTCCACTAAGGATAGCATGTTGAGCTAATTAAACAACAGAAAATCTGCCTCATCATGGTAAAGATCTAGCAAGCCTTTTTTGGTCAAAATATTCTGTATACCTCAAATTACATTTCCGAGTAGGTTATAGCACAAATTATCAGAAAAAGATCAAAACTATTTCATACAGTGCATCTCTACGGCAATTTAGTTTCTAACTTTTTTCTTCTTCCATTACTGTCTCTGGCAAGCCAACCCTATATCTCAAGTTTGATGTACAGAATCCAGGTTCCTAGTCCTAGCTTTAGATTTTTCATTTTAGAAAATATCTTTTACTTGGATCAAGTGTTGTAAGTGATGGAATGTACTCAACATGGAAGAATGAAAAAAGAGGATCAGCATGATTGGAGTTTTCGATTCAATGATTCGTATTAGTGATTCCTAATAATTGGATTTGAAATTGTGAAATTGCTCTAGTTTTATACTCTTGTCAATTGTTCATATAATTTCTACAATCCATTGTGATTAATTTTTATTAAAGTTAAATTGAAATGCAATTTTTATCTACTATGCACATCACACGAATGAGAATGGTCGTTTATTGAAAGCAAATTCTTGTCAATCTATCATATAATTGAGTTTCTCTATAATATCTCAGATGTGTACGTAAATGTTAATTAAACCGTACACTACTCAGACAACAGTCTACCAAGGAAAAACCAAGCTTTTCAGGGACCCTATTGAGGATTTCAAATGTGATTAAAATATGGTAGAAAATATTTTGGGGTAAAAGGATTTCAAACGTAATTTTGAGGCTTAAAGCCAGTTTGATCAAACATTCAGTTTTGCTCGTCGTTTTCAACAAATCCACCTGGCCTAGGCTAAATGTCTTGAACCTCCCACGGCACTATTTTAATTTAAACTCTAATTTCATGAAATTAGGTAGCGGCTGGTACCACAATCCTGAAGTATTCAAGCATTAGTTCAAACAGCTTCAGCACTAAGTTGATGACCACTAAACAAGTAGGTAATGCCGACCATAGTTGACGATAAGACGGCCAAGACTTAGAAAGCAAAGTGCCAAAGTGAATGGAAAACCTACAGGGACTTAATCTGGTCCCAACCATAGGGTAAAGGCCTATAGGGTTCTGTTCATGACCACATAAAAACAAAATAAAGGGTAGGCGAAGTGCAACTTTGGCTAATTAGTATATCATTAATACAAGAGAGCTTGAAGAATTGCCAAGGGTCATTCATTTTGCTTTTCAAATACAACTGCCAGATGGCTATTTCATTCATATCTGTATTGATTTTGTACACTCCATAATCTACTCATCTCCCTTACAACTACATGATGAACAATATGACCATTTAAACCAAAACCATCTTAGTACTACTTAGAGGTGAAGCTCAATTTGTTCACAGCCAGCAACAGATCCACCTCCTTCGAGTTGAGGGTGCTCTCTTTGACCATTGCTTCTGCATTGGAGGTACACTCCTTGAATCTGAAGCAACTAATGAGGTGGTCAAATGTTAGGCCAGCCACTTGCATGAAAGTATAGATGACTGTTGGACCAACACTCCTGAATCCTCTCCTTACAAGGTCTTTACTTATAACTTCTGCTTTTGGAGATTTGACAGGTACCTGGCGAGGGTACCTGAACTGGCTCACTATAGGCTTATTGTTCACAAAGTTCCAAATATATGCGTCAAAGGACCCAAACTCTTCAATTACCTGTATTGCAATGGAGAAAAAAAATGTTAAAAAGACAAAGTACGTGATACACTCACTGTTTGACAGTTATAAACTAAGAAAAATTCATGATATGAACCCCCATAAAACAAGGTCAACTGAGAATTTATCCTTCTTTTTTCCAAGTCTTCTTTTTGTAATATTCTTCTGTGGGTCAGGTAGCAGGTTTATTTCGTTTTGCTCAATTTTTTCCAAGGCAGGTAGCAGAAAAGTTTGAAAATTGAAAGCATGGGTTGATTGATTCACTTCAGCAAGAGCTTTAGATTGAGAAAATAATTACCAAAACGAAAATTGCAACTTTTACACATTTTATACATGAGATTGAAAAAATAAGATACCAGAATGTTTACCTTACACATCTGTCGTGCATTTTCAATTATGGATCGCAACCTGAGCTCTGATAGCAATGTGTTGGCAGGACTTCCTGGTCCAACTATCTTTTTCTCATTCATTCGTGAAACAGCACTTGGATCAAAATCCAAAAAGACTTCCCTGTAATCATTAATACGTGACAACATTTAATCCAAAGAAAAATCCTAAGCATTTTTAGTGCACACTCTACTACACAAAAGATCTTCTGAATCAATCAAAAGCCAAATGACGCATCGGAAAGGAAATATAATAAGCAAATTATTTAATGAGCAACCTTTTCTGATGTGTAATATTCAAACCACATAATTAATTCAATATATATTTCATAGAACATTATATCCGTAGTACCGAAATAACTGCCTTTTGCTAAGAATAGTAGGCCACGTAAGCTCAGCCAAGGCTCCAGAGAAGCTAAGCAACTCAAACAGTTTCCTGTACAAAAACCAAATTCCATCATTGAGATTTGAGACACATTTTCAACCTAGGAGCAGAAAAAAAAAAAAAAAAAAAAAGATTGTGCCCTCTCCAAAACAAACCCACATACCTGTCATCATGAACAGAAACTCCCCACTCTTCGTCATGAAAAGCAATATAACATGGCTCTGAAAAAAAAAGGCAAAAAGTTATAAATAAAAAACAAACAATAAATTTGCAATAATAATGTTAATGCAGTATTTTTTCCCTATTAAAAAGTCAGACTCCAAAAATTTAACATTCTATTTATCCTCCCACTCTAGGTTGGTGATATTAAAATTTCAATCAAGAAAACTAAGGCATATGCGCTCTGTGAAATTGTGAAGCACTTGACTAAAATGTCTAGCCATTTCATTTAGAAAGAAGGTTATTATATGTGAAAATTCACGTCAGATGGCCGATGTAGAAGAATGAATGAAAATTAGTGATGCTAACCAGCAGTAGAGTACATTTAGTACCCATCATTATTTACCAAATTGACAGGACAAAAGGGACAGTAAGTAACTACTCCAGTGCAATAAAAGAAAAACAATTTAAACAAGTCCACCACCTCTGGCTTTTGTGATAAGGACAAGGGGCTAAATCCCAAAACAATAAAGGGAGAAGGTAAGGCAAGGAAAGCCTTGCATACTATAAAGAACATACTGACACTGACATGCGACATGGCAAGGGGATACACCAAATGCTGGATCTGAGCTGAATAAAATACTCTTTAAATTGGAGACTTAGAAATTTATGTTAGAATTTAGATACATGTCATCAATGTGTTATATAAGTGTCCATAATGGATACATTCTGACATGCATACATAGCACCAAGATGGTGTTTTCGTGCTTTATAGCTTGCATGTAATATATGAGACATCGAAAGAATGCGTTAGGGCACCACCAGAAGTCTGGGAAGATAATCTGTAGCGTCATGAGCTGAGTCAACTATATTAACTGCCAAATGGTTGATTTCCCTACATCTAGAAAGCACAAATACAATAGGACACATACATGGACATATGACAAATTAAAAAAATTATTAAGACATATCAAGGTTATAATTCAATGTATAAAAATAGAATTAAATTAATATTAAACACAAATCTTAAATCAAAAGAGCAAGTTGATATTTTAAAAGTGAGCATATATTTTTGTAGACATAATAAAATGCTATGATTTATTTAGTGTAGTATTCTTATTGGTATTGGTATAAAAATTCATTAAAAAATGCAGTTATGACCTAGGAGTATCCGAAGTTCTTGAAGTGATGGACAAGGGAAAGACATGGATATGAATACTATTTTGAAAGTGTCCATGCTTCCTTTAATAGAGATGAATCCGCCAAGGTAGTTGTAAAAACGGTAGAGCACCATCAACCAGAGTTTTTATACAAGGCAGCAAACTACTGCTGTGCTGCAACCCTTGTTCAGCTGTCAGCAACAACCTCAAATTCTCATAAATTGAAACCTTCAACTTTTCACCACTATGGCCAGCCATGCCACATATTAAAGTGTCATTCACATGGCCAACTGTGCCAAAACATGGAATTATTCATGCATTGACTAACTGTACTTATAATCTTACAGATAATAAGTGTACTGGTACATAATGGTTCTAATTTTGTATGAATATTTGATAGGAAACAATATAAGAGAAACACATGTTTCCTTTGTAACAAAAACTCCCAGTGTAAGACTCAAACATGGTAAGATGAGATCATGAAAACTCCAATTAGTGCATATTAATGCTAAATTATCAATTGCTTTATATAAAGAAAATATGAGACATTTAGAAAGTGCTTTTAGAACACCTGTTCATAGTGTTTAACTGGCATATGAACAGCAGAACACCCACAGTACCAATCAAGAGATAACAGTTAGTGACAGATACTGAAACAATACTTAGTTGATAATAATACTGTTTCTATTAGTGCCTAAAATGCAATTCACAAAGACATGGAACAAAATCTAATATTATGTCAGGCTTCCAACCTATCAAATTAAGAATATCTCCTGACGTACAAACTGTCATTCTCTGTCTACACATGCTATAAAAGATACAAAATTCTACAATGTTTCCTAGTCAAATGATTAACTAACTTCCTAAACTGCTAAGTGACTAGGAAGCTCAAAGTCTAGTTGGATAAACTTCTCCATAAACATTTATAAGTTATAAGAGAAAAAAATTGGAAAAAGAAATGAAATAGACTTCTTTGTAAGCTAAAACTAACTTATACAAACTACAAAGTTAAAAATATTTTTTTTTTTGTAAAAACTAATACAAAAGATCTTTTACAAATTAGCCTATGAATAGCCTAATTTTAACTTGTGAGAAAAATTTATTTCATATTTTTTACTAGATGTGCTTAGGAAAAAGTTTGTCCAAAGATACCCTTACTAAGTTTAAGCACCAAAAGATTTCTCATGAACAATCTGCTTGCTTGCCTATCCTGAAATCTCTCATTTTCTACATTGCAGTTAACTAGTGTAGCTTATGTACCACCATTCTCTTCACTTTCCCTAAAGGGCAAAACACAGCACAAGATGACACAGTAAACACCAATCCATCTCAGTTGTTTCCAAAATCACAGTGACACCTCAAAACCAATAGCACCAAAATCACAACTAACAATACATTTAACAAATAAGGAATGGAGATACCTGTATTAGGTGTAACCCAAGCACACCTTTTCTTGCCCTCCAAGCTATCACTCAAATCAACATCATCAGAACCACCCACATTGTCACCACTCACCTTCTCCGGCTTCGGACCACCGCCATACTTCTTCCTCGCCGCCACAACGACGCGCCGCGCCGCCTTCCCGCTCGACGACGCGCCGCTGCTGTGGGTGGAGGAATCCGTCGACGACGCGTCGGAGGAGCACGAGGCGTTCATCGACACGTTTTTCAGCACAGCCTGGTGCTGCTGATCCCGCCGCCGCGAAATCGCCGGCGGTGCAGAGACGCATTGCGGCGCGGAATGCGCCACCGGCTTCTTCTCCGTCTCCGGCGGCGGAGATTTCTTAGCCGGCTTCCGTCCCTCGACGGGGCGAGCTTTGTTGCCGGCGGGAACGAGTACCGGCCGCGCCTCAGCGTCGCCGGCGGCCACGTTCATGGATCGGACTCTGGGTGGGCCCAACATTGTTAACCCTGCACCCTAGAACCTTCTGAGGAAGCTCTCAGGTAAATGCCCAATACCAAAATTCAAAATTTAAACACTTCCCACACAGAATAAAAGAAAAAAAGAAAAAGAAAAGAGTATCTTTTTCTAGAGAGAAGGTTGAGGGGATTTTGAATTTTGAGTAGTGGGATTTGGATTTCAATGCAAAACCCTAGAAAGAGTGAATTTTTTTTTCAGGTGGTTTTTACTGAGAACTATGGTGTTTCTTGTTATTGCGTGGGTGAAAAGGGTTGAAGTTGAAGCTTTAGATTGCCGTGTTTGTGTGCTTCAGTCATGGAAGCTGAAATGGGAGTGTAGAGTGCTGAGAAAGTTGCGGAGAAAAGAGAGTAAGAAAGTAAAAGGGAGAATTATATTTTTTTTCTTTTGGGAGGTTGTGAATGGAAATTTCCGATGGTAAGTTGGTGGTGAAAGCAACGAATCAAAAGGAGCGTGTGAGAGAGAGACAGGGAGAGAGAGAAAAGTTTGAGGTCCAACAATGAGGGAGTGACACGTAGGAGAGAGAAACCATCGACAACAGAACATTTTTGTCGGGTTCTTAATTCCACTGTGCTGGGATGAGATAGAAGAATGTCATCCCATGCCACCGTTTTTGTCATTTTCTTAGCCTCAAAACGACAACCAATGGTGCTGTCGTTTAAGAGCAGCGGCAGAGGAACAAGATTGAATATTGATGATAATAAGGTGAACACAGAAAAAGGGGGTAGATGGGACCCACTTATCCAACGCTTTTCCACACAAACTTTGAAATATATCATCAGTTCATTCGGTGCAAGCATGGCAAAAGAGAAGCAACTTTGAAAACCTCAATGGCTGCTGCAACTTACTATATACTGCCAAGTCCAAAAACTCTCTCACCCCTCTTCAGAAACCCTCCTTCCATTATTCCTTCCAGCAATGTTTCACTGTTGGGTTCATTAGACTATTCATTCTATTGTTCCACAAGGAGAGGGAACGTTGAGGCCAATGCCAAAAAGAAAAACCCTTGGTTGGACCCTTTTGATGATGGGGAGGACCCTGACATGGAGTATGGATCATTGTTTACAGATGGGAAGCAGGAGGAGGATCTTAGGCCACCTGATGATCCTGACAACCCATATGGATTCCTGAAGTTCCCATCTGGATATTCAGTGGAGATAGCCTCTTTGGCATTGAAAGTGAGAGGGGATGTGAGGAGATGCTGCTGCGTAATCTCTGGTGGTGTTTATGAGAACCTCTTGTTCTTTCCGGCTATTCAGATGATCAAGGATAAGTATCCTGGTGTTCAGATTGACGTGGTGGCGTCAGAGAGGGGCAAGCAGACCTACGAATTGAATAAGAATGTGAGGTGGGCAAATGCCTATGACCCTGATGATGACTTTCCAGAGCCTGCTGAGTATACTGATATGGTTGGAGTGCTAAAGGTTGGCCACCTTGTGTTCTAAATATTTTGTATAAAATGACTTTTCATGTTTTATCTACAGAACTATGGGACAGCTTAATGTGGGCCTTAATTTTATCATAGCCAAAAAGGTTGATCATATTGCAAAAAATAGATGACACCTTTCTATATACAGTGATTATAGATAATATTACACTTGTTTGTTGTCCTACTGATTTCTGTCACGCGCAATTGTGAAATTTTTTTGGACATGATGTTACAGGGTTTAGATTTTAGAGGAAAAGCTTAAAGAACATACTTACTTGATGGGATTCTAATGAAATTTGCACCTGCTGGGGGTTGAGTGTACAATGTTAGGCATTACAATGTTGCAAAAAAAAAAAATCACCATTTCCTTGGATTTATTTTGCTAGCTTTCTTACTAATAAATATTTGAAGATTGTGGTATGGATTTAATACTGATGCAATGCAGGGCTTTGTGCTTACAGAATAGGTATTATGACATGGTCTTAAGCACCAAATTGGCAGGCCTAGGACATGCAGTTTTTTTGTTTATGACAACTGCCCGAGATAGAGTTAGTTATGTCTACCCAAATGTGAATGCTGCTGGAGCTGGATTGCTTCTATCCGAAACATTCGTAGCCGATAATTTAAATCTCTCAGATGGAGGATATCATATGTGAGTTTATATTAAAATAGCACTACACAACTATCTTAAACTTGGGTAGATTTTCATGCCCTCGGTTAGACAAGAAATTAAAAATTTGCTTTGATTGAACTTTTTTGGGTATATAACCGAGAAAATTTTCCAATGTGTTTGTTGGATTAGGTATCATCAGATGGTTGACTGGCTGGGAAGACCATTTAGAAACGTTCCAAGTCAGCCAGTGCCACCACTTAAGGTATCAATCTCAAGGAAGCTGAAGGAGGTTGTGGAAGCAAAATACGAAAAAGCAGGTGTAAAAAAGGGACAATTTGTTGTAATTCATGGGATAAAATCAGATTCAAAGGCTTCCATGCAGTCTAGGGGTGATCCAGATAGCTTGCTACCCATTGAAGTGTGGGCTGAAATTGCTGATGCTGTAAGGTATGTTGTGCATTTTTGTGTTCCACATCCAATCCACGTTTTAATAAAAAAAATCACGTCAAAATTGATGCAAAAGTAACTAATTATTACTTTTATTGATACACATTCAACCAAAATTAATGTGAAACCGAACATGTTCATAATGTTGCTCAAAATCAAATTTGTGTTGAACTAAAAGTATTCTTAAACGTGATAGAGTCTATTTCGTGAAACCATCTTTTGGACTTATGTTACTAATTGTTTCTTAACGTATAAGACTTTATGACAGCAAATAAAGTGATATCATTCTTAATAATGTTCAATAAGTTCTCTTGCACCATTTTTATCTTGTCTTCTATCATTATCTGGTATGAATGTTACAGAAAATATTTTGAGTGACAGGGATTTTACGCCGCTTTTTGTCATTCCACATGAAAAGGAAAGGGAAAATGTGGAGGAAATATATGATGAAGAAGCCTCTATAGTCTTCATCACCACCCCTGGCCAGGTACTCAAATATCTTCTATTTATTTTGTAACCAACAAACATACGAAGAAAGGGTAGCTAGTAAAAACATGTCAAAACATTTAACTGTGAAATAATGAATGGATATCAAATAAGATGCTGTATACTGATTTGATTTCATTCTCTGGTTGTATGCTTCAGTTGGCTGCTCTTATTAATGACTCAGCTGGAGTGATAGCTACAAATACAGCTGCCGTTCAGCTTGCAAATGCACGCGAGAAGCCTTGGTAATTTTTATCATTCAAATAAATTATAATGGTTCCCAAAGGATGTCTTTATTTAGCTTTGAAGGGAAAAAAATGTCTAAAGTTGAGCATGAAATGTTTCTTTAAAGAATCATGCAACATTCAGCCACATAGGTTCAATAAAACTGTTCCTTTTATCATGCAGTATTGCACTATTTTCCTCTGAAGATAAGGGAAAGAAGTTTGTCCCGCAGGATGAAGAGAATAAATGCATTGAAATATCATCCAAGACAGGAAAGTTGATAGATATTGATGTTGAGGCAGTAAAAAAAGCGGTTCAAACATTCAATTTGTCCCCAGCTTTAGTATAGTGGAAGAGGGGAAAAAGGTAGTGTTCTGGACTTCCGGTTAAGTGATTATGTTATCTGATTTTTGTTTTTAAATTACTACAGACAAATGTATATCAACAAACTTATGGTTCAGTTCATGTTCTGAATGAGAAAAAAGGAACGAAAACGCAAAAATTGTAAAAATAAGGGTGGAGATAACAGTGAAAGACAAAAAAAAAAGTATATCCTTCTTCACCTTTGATCCACAATTCCACATAAAAAAAAAAGGTGAATCCTAATCATAAGTGGGATGTTGCATTCATTAAAGTAAATCAGTTAATGCTTTGAAGTGCTTGAAATACATATGTCATGATAAAAAAAAGAAAGAAGTTTGTAGTTCAGTAGTAATAATTTGATGGAATCAGAACATATAAATAGAAACGTTCATTCCAGAGCAGAGGAAAGAAACAGCAACATACAAAGAATTTGACATATCTCAGGTCCAAGTTGTTTCTAATCTACTAAAATTCAATCAATCGAGTGGCTTGGCACGAGTGGATGGATCTTCCTTTGATTCCACCTGAATCATAAACACATATCCTAAAACCCACAAGAGAATGTATTGAAAAGGAACCCACGACATGCATGCAAGAAGACTCATTACGCTGCCAACGTACTGAGGATCTTTGATGACTCCAAAAGGAAATTCGGTTACCCAGGGAATAGTTTTTCCAAAGCGTACACCATAGTATGTGCCAGCTTCACCAAGCAGTTGATAAACCCTGTTATTTGACATTTTTACCATTATGTACTAACAAACTTCAAAGTAAGGCACATGAGAATATTTGGCCACATCAAAACCTTTTTAACATAAAAGTGAAGGAAAAGGGATAGAAATTTCTAAAAGTGATTCATCAGAAAGATGGCTTTCCTCTCACTATTTCATCCAGGGAAAGTTAATCTGTAAACCTTCATGTCATCTATAGGGATTCACAATTTCCTGGATTGTAGATAACAATTTCTTCAGCACAGCCTCCGAGAGTAAAACAGTCTTTAATTTTTAACATTTTAAAAAACCACACGCAAGAGTTATGTGTTTTCCAGTGTTCCTGGTGAGGCTTGGCAATGAAAACATCCCTTCTGCAATAATGATATGCTCATCCACACAATATGTTTCACTCCTATTGCTACACACATCACAACTCCATACCACAACATGATATGATATATTCTTCAAAACTTTCCTATCCCACCTCTTGCATTATGAACTTGAGACATTTACTTCACAAGAAGCAATCATAGTGAGAGTAGCTTAATACAACATCTTTAAGCTGAACTAGCCGACAGAAAAATCATTGAATATCAATCAACAAATGGTAGGAACTAAATACACAACACGACCCACATGCCCAACACTAACCAAACATTCGACACCGCGGAATCAGATCCAAAGGCTTCCCTGGCAAAGTCACAACACGCAAGCTCGTACCTTTATCTCACCACCAACCAAAGTAAACTAATACCAGCAATACATGGAAAGCATCATTCTTTTCCATCCCCAACTAAAAACAAAAGTAAAACTCCTTTTTCTAATAGCCAAGAAAGATCATAAAACTAACCTGACATGACAGAGTTAAAAAAATGTCCCATTTCAGCAGCCAACAGCATAGGAAAGGAAAGGAACTAACTTAACAGAGCCGAGTGTAAGATCGAGAAAAGAAAAGAAAGAAATGGGAAAGAGAGAATACCTGAAGTTTAGGAACTGGCCAAAGGCAAAAAGGGGCCAAAAGTAGAGGGGAGGAGGCCAGTGAAATGAAGAGACGGAGAAGAGGGAAATGAACTGAAGAAGCTTGAAGAAATGAGAAACGTAAGCCATAACCTTAGAAGGGTCTCGGCCTCTGCCGCAAAAGTGGAGCCATGACTGCGGCCAATTCCAAAGATAGTAGTAAAACGGAAATGGTAACAACACTCCAATAGCCGCCGCAATTCCCATCACTCTGCAGATCCTCTTTTGCGCTTCTCACCCCACACTCTCCCTCTTCTTTTTATTATCTAATATTCTATATTAAATATAAACTTTTATTTCGAGTCAGAATAAGATTTTTTCTTTTTTCAATTTTTTATTTTTTTATTTTTTTTATATGATTATATAATTATTAGGATATCTCACTAAAAAAGGTTGCTCAAAATAACAATGTTATAAAATCATTAATTTTTCTAAGTGGTGGGATTTCACAAAGAAACCTAGAAAGAAGAAGGTTGCATTTTTATTTGACAAATAGGTATTGTATAATCTTTTGTTCAAGACTTTCCTTGATAAAGTGGGAGTCAACTTCAACATGTTTTATGCAATCATGTTTTATCAAATTTGAAATAAGAAATTAACATTTTCAAGTTAAAAATATGGATTTAGTGTGGTAAAAATTTTATGTTATCTTTATTTACTTATTTGATACGATAAAAACCTTTGAATATCTTGTAAAATTTATAAACATTCTCAATAATATTTATGATTAATCATACAAATTTTAATAATTCTTAAAAATCATGGTTATCAAGATTTATGATTTTCATGAATCATAATTCTCAAATATAAATATTCATGTGAGTTTAATTCCTTGCACGTCCTCTTCCTGTATCTATAATTATAATTAAATGTTAATCTTGTTTCTTGTGACGTCAATATGTTATGTTAGGATTTAGAAAATAAGAATTCTATTATCATTGCATGATTACCTTTACATGTTTATTATGTCTTTTTTTCCATTTCTATTGAAATAATATTGTAGAGTTTCTCATTTATATTGGAATAAACTTTGTACATTAATTTTTAATTATGTAAATATCAATGTTGTGTGTAATTTTATATGATATTATAATATAAAAAAATATGATGCGTTCTTACCAGAATCAGGTCGGTCTTTCAAGTCAGATTTATCATCTTCTCTATCTTGGTCTCTGTAGAGATCATGAGAGATTGGTCTTTGAGATTGGTCTTCGAGATTGGTCGCCGAGATTGGTCGCCCTTCTCCAAGCGTCTCGGATGTACCTGCAAAAAGGACCCCGACGATCAAGTTAGTTATCTGAGATTGTCTAATGAAATGTATATATTTTTACCTGCTATTGTCTATTTTCCTTCTCTATGTAACCGTCATTATTACCGTTAAATTAACTACTTGATATTGTGATTCAAGCTTTGACAGGCCGAGTTGGCAGGCCAAGTTGGTAGGCCGAGTTGGTAGACCGAGTTGGTTCGAACTCAGTCACCATTTGATTGAGGTTGGTACACAAGCCCCCCAAGCTCTGAGCGATATAAGAGTGATAGAGGTTAATCAGGAGATGCGTATATTGAAGTTGGCCATAAATTAAGTTTTATTTGGTGTAACATATATTAAGGGACTAATGACAACTTATTTAATATTTTGAATATCAAAAGACATAATGATAACACGTCCTTTCACCTGGTCACTTTTTGCTGCAAAATATATGAAGTTTTCAAAGGTGGCGTTTCATTTTTCATTGTAACGATGAACCGAAATTCCCTTTATATTGGCAATCTCAACCCATGAGATTTTCCACTTTAGAGGGGTTAACATTAACCCCTTCTGAGGAGGAAGACATACAAAAATTACAATTATTGCCTCGGCTTTTAGAAAGCAAAGCTATTGTAGCACTTTCTAGATCAGAAAATCCTCGAGATGAATTAGAAAGTAAGTAATGGTAAAGTTGTTTAAAGTGAGTAATGTTTTGTTTGATTGATATGATGATGTGTTACCTTGTCATTCAAAAAATCATGGGAAGAAGTAAGTGGCGTGAACTAAAAGGCAAGTTCAACACTAAGGAGATAGAAATTTTCGATGTGGATCGCCCTTCTCGTAAAGGGAAGAAACAAAAAACCAACGCCTCAGTTGAGGCTGGCAAACGAGAATCTGACAAACGAGTTGTGAGGTCAATTTGCCAAGGTGATCTCGGCCAAGAAAAGGTAAGTTATAACATCTACGACTTTTGAATATTGTCTAAGTTTGCAAAAGGATATAAATTCTAACTTATTATCAAGTTTACAAGAGTCAATTGCTCAGCTCGGATTTTCATCTCCTTCAACGCAAGTAGGGCCATCTCAAGTTGAGCAATCTTCTCGACCAAGAACATTACATCAGAGGTATGACTCCAATCACCCTCTTGGCAAGTTGGATCATATAAGTATGTCTCTTGACGTTACCTCACTTTGGAACGCCAAGTTGACCGCGAAAGTCTTTTTCTTTTCTTTTTATAACAGTATTGGATTCAGCTAGGATTTGCTTTTTTGTAAGATTGGGAATGTTCCAAAACCTATTCACCAACTCCTCGTGATAATATAATGATGTTTCATTTTGTGTTTGTTTGACAAATTACAAATCTCATCAATTATTCATAAATTGAGTGATAAACCATTAAAACGACTTCACAGTGTGAAGAATGGATTTCAATTGAATAGTAGAAATCGTTTAGGAGAGATTATATGTATTTGGCTAGGGCATTTAAAAATGGTTTATAAGTTCGTATAATTTAGTCTAACTCTTTGGTCAGTTAGTAGAGAGGCACGAATTTTGTTGGTTAACAAATTAACTCAAACTTGGCCAATTTATAAATCAGATACGAAATTGACTCAAACTTGGCCAATTTATAAATCAGATACGAAATTGGCTCAAAATTGGCCAATTTATAAATCAGATACGAAATTGGCTCAAACTTGGCCAATTTATAAATCAAATACGAAATTGGCTCAAACTTGGCCAATTTATAAATGTTGAACTCGATGACGTGAAGAAGAAATTGGCTGAGACTATAAAGGCTTTTGAAATATCCATAAGATCAAATAAATCTTATTCGGCCAAGGTGGAAGAATTATTGAGCAAGGTGAAGGTTATGGAAAGAGAAAAAGAAGAAAATGAAAAGGAATGCACCAAGCTGAGAGAAAAGATTGAAGAAAAAGAAAAGACCATGTTGGATTTGCAAGAAGAAATTCAAAGACTGACGGAGCAAAACAAGGCTTGTCAAGAAGTCATAGCTGCTGATGTCGAGCGGGTTACTGAGTTAGACTCTAAGAACAAAAGTTTGAATGAAGAGCTTCAAACTACCGAGTTGCATGTAATATCAGAACATAGAAAAGGATTTGCCAAAGCATTTCGGCAAACCAGAGTGATTGCTCCTGAGGTTAATCTTCAAGAGCTTAATGTCAACAAGGATGTGTTCGATGGTAAATTGGTTAATAAAGATGACTTACCGGAAGATGTCAGTAGTGAAGATTAATGTTGAATATTGTCTTTGCAATAGTTGTCTAAGTTACAATTATTTTTGTTGTCGTTTCTTCGTATTTCGATATTTGAAATGTATTAAGTAAAATATTGTGATAACATTTCAGAGTTGCTTTTGATTCAAAAATCTGAATTCAAAAATATGAATTCAAAAATATGAATATTATATGGAGTTTGCATATTGAATCAACTTATAGCTGATTAGGAAGTTGGCTCAAATTTATTGTAGAGTTTCTTATTTATATTGGAATAAACTTTGTACATTAATTTTTAATTATGTAAATATCAATGTTGTATGTAATTTTATATGACATTATAATAAAAAATATATATATGATGTAAGTTTATCACTAGATAAGACATAAAATTATGTTTATCCTCTAAATAAATAAATAAATATAAGTCTATTCTTATGAAAATATGAGGTATAAAAATAAAATATGAGGTATAAGAGTAACACCTTAAACAATAATATGATACAAGTTTATCTCTCAGAAAGTAGATAAAATATATGATTTTGTCACAAAAAAAAAAAAAAGTGATTGTGCATGAACTTAAAAAAAGGCCCTCTTTGAATAGGGAAGAGTTCTAACCCTTCAAATTCTCAAAAGATGTTAGATATTCTCTGGAAAAAGAATGCTGGTGAACTTTTCAAATTCTCAAAGAATGACAAAAGATAAGTAATGAATGCTAAAGATGATTAATTATGTTAAAATGTTATGTATGTCATGATTTAATTGTTATGTTTGATATGCATATGATGTTTTATTCTAGGACACTAAATGTTTTCCGCTTAAGCAAGATTCATGGAGCAAAAAGAAAAGAAAATTTCTTTTATGTTCTTATTGTTAAATTTTTCAGTAGAATTTTTGTTTTGTAGGATTTAGTTAAGGACATGTTGTCAGAGATTTTTTTTTTTTACTCATGTATATTTAGATTTAATTAAAAATATGAGATTTATTTTTTAGTTTTTCATAATAAATGTTGATATTTATTTTAATACTCGTGAGAGTGCTACACAATTAATATTATGTATATATGTATTCCTTTTAGGTTTATATAAACAAAAAATAGTACTTAAATTTTTTTAACTCAAATATAAAGAGATTTAACCAATTCAAATTTATTTAATGTTTTTAATTTGAAAACACTCATAAAAAATGAAATTTTTATCCATAATTAGTATAATTAAGAACATTTTAATAAATATAATACTTTTTATATAAAATTGTAAAAAAATTAAAATATTTAATTATTTTTTAATATGGGTATAATTAGTTTTATTTTTATACATACATCCAAATAAGAGTGAAAAATACATTTACTTGAAATCAAACCATTGTCCGAACATTTATAAGAAAATTTAACTTCAGTAATATTAATATGGAGAAGATAGAAACCTTTAACTTGAATTATATATACCAATATGTAATCATGTCTATGACTAAAAGGCCTATCACTTTTTTTTCTAAAAAGGTGGATTTGATCCATCATTCCAAGTCATGTGATAAAAGATACTACTCTAATTCTAATTCATACAATAATCTTTGAGCCACGAAACATGCTTAAGACCTATTTCAATTTTTTATTTCATATTTTCATTAATAAGTATAAAATCCTCATCTCGTTCTTATTTTGTTGTTGTTTTTATTTAAACATTTTAAAAATGAGTATAATATATTGTAATTATTTATATATATATATATATATATTTTTTTTTTTTCAAATCAAACATACTCTTAAGTTAATAAACATAACATTATTATTTTGTTTATGCACGTGTTTATTAAAGCACAGCCCTTGAACATTAAGGTGGTTATTATTTGATTTTAAGAAAGTGAGGGACAGGTATGACACTAATTAATAAAGATATATAAGAGTTGTGTTATTCATATAATATCATATTTTTTGCACTTGTGCTGGTAACCTAATCTCTCATTTATTTTTCTTGCAATGAAATTGGCTTTCTCTATTTTTAAATACAAAATTAAAAAGTGGTTGGTTTCACACGAACCATAAAATCCACCTTTCACCCAAGGCATTTGCTGGCTAGTGACTCTTCACCCAAATTTCAATTTTATTTTCTTTTTAAGTTTATATATGCCTTTCTATTAAAAAACAATATATATATATATATATATATATATATATGAATTTTATATTTGGTACTTTTTCAATTTTATTCAAATTATACTATTTCATTATCAAAAGTGGTTAGTTAAAACTGTTTGATATTTATAATTCTTAACTATGAATAAAGTTTGATCTTCGTTTTGATCATAAAGTCTTAATTGAAAATATTATTTTATTCTTATAAGAATATTTGATAAAAACGAATTATACCTCATTTAAAAAAATATTTGATATCTCATTGCTAAAAAAATGAAAAGGATTAGAACCTTAATATAGGCCCATATAATTATTTTGGATTTATTTTTGTTCATTTGCATTCTTTTCTCATTAACTGTTTTCGATACGAAAGCAAAGGCTGCATAAATTTACTCAAACCTACTTAAAAAAAAAGAAAAGTATTATTCTCATTGATCTATGATCTATGGTTAGAGTAATGATTTAGCAGTGTTTTGTAATATTTTTTAGGTGATGGACCACCTTGGTATGTGATGGCATGCGTAAGAAAAAGGCCCAAAAGCGAAGCTTTAATTAATAAACAACGTAAGCAAATTCATGCGTTTTACTAATGTGACGAAAAACAAATGAAATAGATTCATAGCTATCTCTAATTTTGGAATGTAGTTTTCAAAAGGTTTATATGAATGGCTTTCGGCAACTATATTTGTGTTTATGATTGATGGAGATTTGCGAGCAGTTAAGTAGGTCTTGGAAAGAAGAGAATAAAGACGGGGCACATTAATTGAAGTAAGACTAAACCAATTACATCTAATGCAGACAATAAACTAATATGGATTGTATTCAAAGTTTGTTGGATATATATGATTAACATATTCTTATTTCTTCCATTCACACCTAATTACGGAATTTAGCTAAGGAGGTTCATTTCTATATGATTTTCCTATTTATAAACTCTAATCTTATCCTACTTCTTAAAGTTATATTTTTACATTATTCACTTAATATAAGTCTTTTAAAGGTGTAATTTAGGATTTACTTCATCTAAAGTGTTTTATATAATTTTTTATAAATCACACACAAATATTATCCACCAAAAGTTTGAGCCAAAAAGGGTCATTATGAGTGTAAATATTTAACATAATTATATACTTAGATTATAATTTAAAACCATTAGTTATTAAGTGTGTTTCTCGGTATTTTAGACAAATAATAAACTATAATAGTAATAATTATTTATCAGAAAAATAATGACTAAGATTGTAATTAACTATATATTTGATTATATATATATATATACATACTTTTATCACTAGTATTGACAATTAATTTTATAATTAATGATTGTGAATATACTTTATTCCCTAAAATGAATATTTTCATTTTAGAAGTGTTAAATCTTATAATTTAACATTTTAAAAAGCTAACTTAATTTAAAAATGTATTTCAAAATATATTGTGTAGCAAGGTCTTTTAAATAAAAAAAATACCTTTAAATAGGCTACTAAGTAAAAACTAATATATATTAATTAGTGCACGTAATCCTAAAATTATACTGATGGATACATGATATTAAAACTTTATAGGAAAAAAAATAAATTACTATTCACATTTACTAATTATGTGATTAATAGGATTAATCTAGTAGTTGAAAGAAGGGGGAAAAAGGAGTTAAGAGTAATTAAAAGCATGAAAATTTAAGTTTGATTTTAATTGTGATCATCTTTATATTTTTTTAATCTTTATCCAAAATAAAAAAAATGCTAATTTATTAAGCTTAAAAGAAGTTCAATTAGCTTAATACATATTTTAAAAAAAATCTGTATATGTCTTATTTACTTCTTATAAGTGTTATGTAAAAGAAAAAGTCATAAAATAAAAATTATTTTGATTTTTTAATATAATATTAATTACCTTTTGTCATTTATATCCTTAACGATAATTATTTAAAAAGATGTTGTCTTGCTTCATTCCCTACAAAAAGACAAATAATAAGCTTAATTTTGTAAAAGTAGTGTAGATGGACTTGCTAACCAGGTAAGTAATTAATACAGAAAAAGTTCTTTTTATTGAAAACAAAAATAAAGTTATATAGGAGAGTGTGTAGATACACTTTTTAATATATATTTTCTACTTTTAGTTCATTAACCAGTACATTAAGGACATTGGTTAATTTTTTAAATATTATTTTCTTTTATTTATTTATTTATTTATTTTTATATGTATAAAAAAATTAAGACAATATTTATTACAGAACATATAGAAGAGTAATTGTGTGTAATTTGTCTTAAAATTTAATGTTCTTGTCCTAAGTTAAAGACAAAACGACCTATTTTTACATCTAACTCCTTCAAAAACTAGTAATTTTCCATTTTAACTTCTTTTTAAGGTGGAGAGTCACTCATGAAAATAACTCAACTTTAGATAATAATCAGTTTAGCTAAACTTAAATTATTTTCCTATTTATAGAAATCTAGGAATTTCCCGATCTTAGAAAATAATTGGTTCAAAAAAAACAAAAATGTGGTGTTATTAAAATGACTATTTTTTTTTTGTAAACTATATTTTTTTCTTTTGTAAACTACATGACTCTTCTTTGTATTTTCTTGTATTTTTAGGCACACAAATTTAAATTTATTTTCTCTACAATCAAAATTTTTAAAATTCTATCAATCTCTTCATTTTTTTTCTTCTCTTTCAAGCAAACAGGAGATAAGTCTAAGCATAAAAATGAATGCTAACAATTAATCGCTTTTGTTTTTTTAATCTATAGAAATTAAATTTAATACTTAAAAATTATAAAAATGAATTCACACTACTTAATCAATCAAGAATTATTACAATTAACTCACATTCTTTAATCAATTTAATCAACTGAATTAAACTGTTATAGAAATGAATAATTTGAGACTGCATTACAAATATTCCCCAAGTTCTATTCAAGGTGTTGTTTGCTACTACTAAACATTACTCATATGGTTAGTACTGTCTATATGCATCCCTACATAAAATTACCCAAGCGTATATTTTTTCTTCTTCTATTTGTTAGAATTTATATATATATATATTAAACTTGCTTTTAGACTAATGGGGAATATTAATTTTTATATGTGTGGTTAGTATAATGATTAGAGATAAGCAGTGTTTATTCATTGATTTATTTTAATTTTTCTGCTTTTTAGGCGATGGACCACCTTGTTCATGTGATGCCAAACGGCACAACTTAATCATTTGTTTAAACACATTGTAAATAATTAATTTCATGTGTTTTACTAATGTGAACATGTAGAAAGGACTGGATGCATACCTATCTCTAATTTGGAATTTTATTTTGTATAGTGGCACATTCTATGAACATGCACATCTCTTGTCAATCTTAATCCTTCGTTTTGCTATGGAAAGATTTGATTCATGTCATGATGGTCTATTTAACTCACCTAAGATATACTTAATTAGGCCACTCGAAACTACCGTGCCACAGATTAATTTGATCTTGCTTTAATTTTTTAATAAAGAATTTGACTAATTTATAGTGAGGAAAATTGTATTTTAAGGAATGAGAATAGTAACAATTGTTGATTAAAAGCATTATTAGTTTGTTGGTATTTTAATTTATATGTGTGTGTAAAATTTTATTATAATTTTAATCCTTTGAAATTGAATCATCAGTTAAACTCAGACAATTCCTTATCTTAATTCACGTGTTTATTGATAAACAATTCAACAATAGAAACATATATTTTGACATGCTTTTGGAAAAAAAAAAATATATAATAGAGATGTCGAAAGATATAAAAGTGGCATTAATGGTGTAAAAAATAAAGTGGCATTAATTTCGAGAAGAAATAATAATATATTTTGTGTTCAAAAAAATAAAAATAATTTATTTTGTAATATATATATATATATATATAATATTTCCTTCACTACTTTTGCACCGTAAAATAAAACCCTAATATTTAATTGCACAGAATAAAAAAAAAGTCCCCAATCTTTAAGAAAGTAATTAATTCATAAACCATGGGATTTAATAATGTAAAGTTAGTTTTTGAAGGGAATTTGCATAAATTCTTATGCATTCGCGCCCACTTAGACACTACTAATGTTATTTTTTTGTTGAATCTTTTTATATTCAGCAAATGCTAGATAGTGCCAGAATGATGGCAATTTCTATCTAATTTTTGCATTACTTTACTCAAAGAACACAAGAATATAGTCAATCTAATTCTCTCATCGATCGCATAAATCTCAATCGAATATTTATTTGCTGTTGTAATCAATTACGTGTAATTAGTGACAACCAAATCAAAAATACACTACTAATCAAAACAGAGGCTCAATAAATTACATCGAAATCTATTTTAGTAAACGAAGTGAACTTAAAATAAAATAAATAAATAATGGTGGTACTGTCGTACCCCCAAACTTTGTACTTTCATACCGTTTCCTTACAGGGTAACATTATTTTGTTTCAACTTCATTTTCATTAACAAATGCAAACCTACTCTTTTGGCACATTTATTGAGAATTAATGATTAATAAATAAAATTTAATTTTAATCTCTATTCAATTTTTTTAATTTTTATTTTCTTGGCAAATATTCAAGATTTACGGAAACAAATATTTGACATTAATATAATAACTAAAAATTCGTATATATTTACTTATCGTAATATAGAAGACAAATTTCTAATATTTTTAGTTTTTTATTCATAAAAATTATAATAAAATAATAAAATTAACATGATTTGATATTAATAATAAAATTCAAATTTTAAAACTTATACATATCTTAATCTTCTATAGGTCTTTTTAAGTGATTTGAAACTCCTTTGAGTGATTCAAGATAGAGAAGTTCATTAAAAAAAATATATATAAATATATTTGCTCACCTAATTGTCAATAATTTATGTATGAAATTACTCATGCTGGTTTTATATATCATTGTTTTTTTTAATTAAAAATTAATATTTGGTTTCAAAAAATAGTATATTTAATTATCCATTATTAAATACAATTTTATATGAGTTTGATAAAACCACTAAAAACGACAAACTTTTTCTTCTCTACTTTTATCCATAAAAACTATAAAAGAAATAACATATTCGAAACTAGGATAATGTATATACTCACCTAGAACCACTATGTCATTTACCAAAAATCACTATATCATTATGAATAATGAATAATTAATTATTAGAACTTATTTATATCTAAACCAATTTGCTTTAAAGCAACAGATTCTAACCTCCCATTTACCAACCTAGAACCACTATATAGTTATGCATAATGAATGGTTAATTATTAGAACTTATTAATATCTATAACCAATTTACTTTAAAGGAAAAAACATATATATATATATACTAAAATAAGACATTGAACCTAAGAACTAATAGAGTGTATAGAATGTCATTTGTAAATTGCAATGTATATTTTCACAATATTTGAACTATTAGAATCTAATAGTTAAGGATTGGAATGAATGTGTTCATTGTGATCATTGTATTTTTCTTTACTAATAAAAGAATTATATGCAGATGCTTCACTATCAACCTAAGTTTCTACGTACTTAAAACTAAAAGTTTTTAAAAGCTAAACCTAAGACTATAGCATGTGTTAAAAAGTTTTTTTATAATTGAATTTGACTGACTTTGTTGTGTTGTTTATTGTTTTAACGGAGTCTGTTTTATTCATTATTTATTAGTTAAATCGTTTGATGGTCTTGTGGTTCAAATTGAAAGAGAAATGTAGCGGAAAAATGAGTCGAGTAGCAAAGACATGGCAGGCACAGGTCGGTCATATGCAACATTAATGCCGTCACATCAGTTTTCCTTTGTTTTCTAGGCATCAAATTTGTGCAATAGATTTGGCCTTAAAACTTTAACATACGTGTGGCTTTTATAATTCAGATGACGACTTTCATGTTCACCATTTGACTCTATTGTTTCCAAGAGAAAAGAGACCATTAACCATACCATGCATTATGAATTACCCCAAGTTACTGACATAAGGACAAGGGACACAACTTCCTCATGTCAATGTACATGCTTTGGATAGATTATTAATATGGCAAATCAAAGTTTGCAAGTCCATCTTGACCAGCTTCTCATTTTGGTGATAGTGCATTGATCATGCATACCTTTCTTCTGTATTCAGACCTCTCTCTGTTTTTGATGTTGAAAGACTTCTTTTTTGCTTTTGTACCATTTGCATGTATCATTTGGAGCAAGTGATAGGACTCAAAGTGTCTCAAATTTCAGATTAAATTTTCCATTCCCTAAAGGGGAAGTTCTAGTACATTTGGACCACAGTGTAGCAGATATGAATGAGCAAACTTCATCCCAATTTAGAAACCAGTACACGTCAGCTAATAAGATATGAAGCTTCTAGGGACGCGCGTAGCCATTCAAGCCTTGTTCTTTTATAACACTTGGCACCATTCTTTTAAAACATAAACAAACAAGGGAATAGTACGGTTGCAATTGAAAAAAGAGCTTAATATGTGCATATGATGATGGTGAGGTGATCACCACCCCACTTTTGAGCCGCACAGTAGCATCTCACATGTTCACCAAAAACGTGGTGAAACCCTTACTTTTTATACCACTTCCTCCAATAATTGGTGAAAGCGAAGTAATAAGATAAGGGGTTTTTTTTCTCTATAGTTCAGGCTTCTAGTTATCAAACACCTGGCAGAATCTTACATAACATTTCCCATCATGATTCTTGAGAATGCTGAATGACCCACCACCCTTTCTTTCAATGACTCTAACAAAAAATTAACTAGAGAACACACATACTGTACACAGTTAAATTAGTCTTCTCATCTAAACTCATATATATAGTGTGTTTGGCAACACATTTGTTACTGCTGGTAGAAAAGAGATATAAAAGCTAGTTAGTGTCTGATTGGTAACACATCTGATGCCACTCAATGTGGATCTGCGGAAGCAACTATTTGATGTTTTTCCATCAAAATTGATATCATTCTTATTTGGATGTGAATTTCGAATGTGCTTCCAAACATACCCTTATACTAGATTCAATGTGACTTGTACCATTCTTTGTTAACAGGTAACCAAACACACCATTAGACTTATTTGTGTCATTTCTTTACTTTTTGATGTGAATTTGAAAGGTAACATGGCTGATGCAAACATACACATAATCACATAGCTTGATTTCCAAGAATAAAGAAAATTGCTCTCATTTCAAACCTAGTGAAATTTGAAACCTTGAACCTTTTAGATAGGGATGACTACTCTCGTATTAGGAAGAAAGGACAATTATTGCGTAGTTCGGCTACTACTTTGACTGCAGATAAACTTTACCTTAAACTGCTATTGCTGTCATTGTTGTTATCATTATTAAGACATCATTATCTCCATATTGTCATATCACATTGTGAATAGGAAGACTCTGTAGTGTACCTATCATTGTTATTTCTCTCCCTTCTGCACATTTAATACGAACGCTAATTAAATTTGAAATTTCAACCCTCAGCATTAATCAAAAACAATATGTGGTGTATCATCTATCACAAAAAGTGTACAGGCGCAACAGTACTTATTTATTTTCGATATGTACATGATGTATTGGATCACGCACTACAAACAAAAGAAGATATGAACATGATGTAATACTATGGAATAGAAATAACAGAATACGGGTTTAGATTTTTCCCCCCTTTTCTTTTCATTTTTGCCAAAAGAACAAGGTCCACTAAACTTTGGGGAGGTGCCACGTATGCATATTCTTGGGGGTTCTAAGATGTATATATGCACATACAGATAGAGAGATGAGCATTGAAAGCTCATAGAAACTAGCATAATCTAGAAGAAGCAAGGGATACATATTATTAGCCTTCTTTCTCTTTTGCTTATTGTTGATATTGTTCTAATCATCTACACCATGTCTCTAAAGATAGCAGCAGAAATTTATCCTAAATCAGCATCAGAGATAGTGGAAGAGCCATGTTTGGTGGTAAGAGAATATGATGAAGATAGACACAAGGTGGCAGTAGAGAAACTTGAGAGTCTTTGTGAAGTTGGACAGAGTGGAAAACCATCTCTTGTCACTGACCTCATGGGAGACCCCATATGCCGTATCCGTCACTTTCAATGGCATGTCATGCTGGTAACTAGCTACACATCTTATTAAAATCCCCATCATTTTTTAGTTTTACATTATCTTCAACTTTAGCTGTGTAACAAAAAAAATACATTTTAGTGGTGATATTGCCGAGTTTGCATAATATTAGTTTCACTATTTGGAAATTGTATGATAACTAGTACGCATTTCTTTCAAACTAGGAATGATGGTTTTAAGCTAATTAGTAATAAGTGTTATGTTTGGTCCAAATTGAAACAGGTTGCAGAATATGGAGAAGATGGAGAAGTTGTTGGGGTGATAAGGGGGTGTGTGAAAACAGTTACAAGAGGGAATTCGGTTTATGTAAAACTGGCCTATGTTTTGGGGCTCAGAGTCTCCCCTCGACACAGGTTCTATTCCACTCTGCTCATATGTTATTGGTTTGCTTGCTTCCATCTCTTTCTGCACTGCACATTGTGTAAAAGCATCAAAAAGGAATTCAGGAAAAACGTGACAGTGAGTTGAGTACTTTTGATGTGCATGATGAGTTTCAGATAAAAACCAAAAGCACAAGTCATAATCAGTTTTCCTCAAAAGCAAAAGTCAGTTCAGAAGCTGTTTTGCTTCTGTTCTGTTTGCCAATTGCCTACTCCTCTTTCCGTCCCTTTCTCCACAAGTTGTTGTGTGCTTTCTTGCCTCTAATCTCATTCAGACCTTATAAAAATATGGGGAAAAAAAAGAAGCGGTGGAGGATTAGATTCTAAGAAAAAGAGAAGGCAATGTTCCTCGTATCATGGAAAGGTGAAAAAAGTATGGTTAAGCTAGCCTGTCATTGACACATGTATGATGTATCCACTAAGGCTACTTTAATAAGAAACTGCAATTGGATCTGATATAATATGATGTCTTATTCTTATTTTCAATCATTTCACTGAATTTCGTACAAAGTTCTTCATCTAGACACCAAGGTCCACACACAAACCTTACTTTTCTGTTCAGTTCAATTGGATATGATATGATGTCTTATTCTTATTTTCAACCATTTCACTGAATTTCGTACAAAGTTCTTCATCTAGACACCAAGGTCCACACAAACCTTACTTTGCTGTTCAGTTCAAATATTCCTCATGATCCACCTCTAGTGCCCTTCATTTTAATTTCTCTTTGATTATTTTTGATTATATATTTCTAGAAAATTATAAACCGAGACCCAAAAGCAGTAGCTATAGATGTTTTCATACTTGATCAGGCAACATTAAGTAAAAGGGTTATCTTGGCATATGCAGGAGATTTGGCATTGGCACAAAACTAGTTCAACATTTAGAAGAGTGGTGCAAGCAAAAAGGGGCTAAGTATGCATATATGGCAACAGATTGTACTAATGAGCCTTCAGTGAATTTGTTCACAAAAAAATGTGGCTACTCAAAATTCAGGACTCTAACCATACTAGTGCAACCTGTGCATGCTCACTACAAGCCAATTAGCTCTAGCATTGCTGTGCTTCGCCTTCCACCACGCCTAGCAGGGTCCATGTATAACCATATGTTTTCCAATTCTGAATTTTACCCCGAAGACATAGATTTGATTTTGTCCAACAAGTTGAATTTGGGCACATTCATGGCCATCCCCAAGAAGTACATGTCCAAGTGTGATCTAAAAAGGGGCATTCTCCCTCCAAGCTTTGCAATGTTAAGTGTGTGGAACACCAAAGATGTGTTCAAGTTGCAAGTGAAGGGTGTTTCACCTTTGGCACATGCATGCTGTGTAGGCACAAGGTTGTTGGACGAGTGGATGCCATGGCTAAGGCTACCTTCATTTCCAGATGTTTTTAGGCCATTTGGGGTTTATTTTGTGTATGGACTACACATGGAGGGAAAGTGTGGCACACAGCTCATGAAGTTCCTATGTGGATTTGTGCATAACATGGCAAGAGATGATGGGGGTTGTGGGGCCATTGTGGCTGAACTGGGCCAAAGGGACCCAGTAAGGGATGCAGTCCCACATTGGAGAAAGTTATCTTGGGCAGAGGACATGTGGTGCATTAAGAACCTTGAGGACACTAAGCAGAATATCCCTGAAAAATCTGATTGGTACGCTTCTAGATCCTCTTCACCTGTAATATTTGTTGACCCTCGAGATTTTTGACCTAGTCTTTTGAAATTTTATAGAGAAAGGGATGAAAATGTTGTTAATGCCTTTTCTTCAGCCACTGTAAGATGTAAATTAAGTAACTATTTCATCATGTGTGGATGATTAATTAAGCCATACTATATCAGTATATGTCTCTAATCATACTACATCTTAATCTGGTTAAAATTGAAGAACTTACTAAAACTGAGGAATCTGAGAATTAAATAGTTATTGTTGTTACAAGAAGAAATATACTTTTTTACCAACTGGAAACAGCAAAAAAACAAAATGGAATGACATAAAGTTGAGCTTTTAGTGGTTATAAGCAGTTGACTTGCAAGTGCGTTACAGGAGTAGCCACACACACACTTGAAGAGAATCTAGCCGTTTGAACCAAAACATGAGAGAATCTAGCCATCTCATGTTGTCGCATATCTTTTCTCATTTTAGATTTTTTGTCACTCATGTCTAAAGTGTTTTCTTAAATTCATGTAAATGTTAGGGTTTTTATTATGAGCTATGCTTAGGGCAAGGGAAGATGTTTACAAATTGTTGTCAGAAGTAAGTTATACCTTTACTAAAAACCGAAGTTCAATCTTTAACTTATAGTCTTTAATCATAATTTGAAAATTTTTACAAGTATAAATGAATTTGAAAGTTGTTGATACAAATGATTTGACATTAATTTTTATTAAAGATGAAAGTTTAGTCTCTAATTAAATATGAAGTTATTACTTTATTTCTATAATAGATTGTCGGAAAGAAATTATATCTCTTAATTATATATATATATATATATATGATTTGTAATGTACGAATTTTTATTATTTATATATACTTTATTTTAGTTATATCATTATTCAATATAAAATTTTTAATACATTTCCTCACATTTTGAGTGTAACATTTATAAAACTCTAAATATATAAATGCACTTAATACCAGAAAAATTTGATAAAGGGTAATACAATAAATTCAACAATAAAATATTAATATAAACTTTAATATAAATCTTAATTAAGAATACTTAAGTGTCACTCTCCTTCTTTGTATGATACTCTATATATAGTTAACTTGGCCGGTTCCCTCTAGCATTTAATATTGCATTTAAGTTTTATCTAAAAATAAATATATTATCCATTATCTTGTCAACACATTTCTAAAAAGTGAAGAAGACGAAAGGGAGGATTTATTTTATTATTTATTTTCAAAAAATTTTATCACATTTTTTTATTAAATTTTCACTATCATATAAATGAAAATACTAGCTGACTTATAGTATATTTTTATTAAGATATATTTTTATCATGAACATATGAAAAAGACAATTTCATATAGAAGTGTTTATGATATGAGTTTATCAAAATGAATCCAATCATGATTGATAAGTTAAAATATGACTAAGCCAATTTTTCTTTTATAGAAAATGAATCATTAAATTAGAATAAGATAAAGTTATGTTATATTTATGTTTCTTTTAAAAATGTCAGATAAAATAATTATATTTATTTAATATTTATTAGTAGGTAAAAGACACTTTGAATACACATATATTAATGGAGATAATGAGTGATTATTAAGAAATTCAAAGAAAATAACTAATATTCAAAGATTTTTTTGACCATTATTAATTATTATTCTACAGTTTTTCAAAGGGTTAAAATAGTTTGAAATAAAATATACATAAGAATAAAAAATCACCTTTATATATAGAAGATATAAATTAAAAAGAGAAAGAACAAAACTCAAATGAATTTTTTTAGTGTCATTTGTTCGGTGAGTAATATACAGAGTTTGAATTTTTATTTATTAAAAATCACTTGTCTGATTATTTATTTTATATTGTATATTTATTATATCATTAAAATAAAGTAATGAGTAAAACTTGTTGGCTCTTCGACCCCAAAGACATTTTTTTTTAATTGCACATGGGTAGTTTTTGAATAAATTTTTGATTTGGCCAAGTCATGTTTCTTTTAGTTCACAACTTGTTTTTTTACACGATTTTAATCGGAAGTTCTTTTGTATTACACGATTTTAATTTTTACTAATAAATTATTTTTAATTAAAATCGTGAATTTAAGCATGACTTCTAAAAAACAAATCATATGTTTTGTTTTTAACAATGTTCAAACTTTTATCTTAGTTAAGAAATACAACTATCAAAATACTTGTGTTAACGACTTTTTTGAAAAAATCATATATTTAAACACAATTTTTATATTAATATTATAAAAAAAACATATTTTTTTTTATAAAGTATAAAGTTGTATACTTAAATAGAATCAATAAAATAGAGTAGACTTGTTTCATTAGCCCAAACCTATTCAATAAATTATAAGACTTGAATTCTAAATTTTAAATATGATTTTTTTAGCTTAGGCCGATAAAATTTGTGTCATAAACAAGTTGGAGTTAGGCTAGCTAGGTTGAGTCACAAATTGTCCATCTTTTTTAAAATTTTAAAATTTTATATCTTACTCAATGTTAAAAAGTAAGAGAGAAAGACTAAGAGTTTATAAGAGGGTATTGGATTTGAATTTCATAAAATTATTTTAATATGAAAAAGTCTTGTGAATTTTAAAATAATTTACAATAATGTAATGATTTTTTTAGATTTTTTTAAAGATTTTGTGGGAATGTAATGACTTTTAAGATTTTTTAAAAGAGTTTTATAATCAAGACTTTGTAATATGAGTTTTATTAAATTTATATCATAAGAATTTATAAGATTTAAAAGGATTTTATGAGATTTTAAAGAATAATATGAATTTTTAAAAAATAATAAATTAATAAAAAAAACATAAATGATAAGGTTTGAATAAAGAAAAATAAAATAATACATTTTTTTTAATCTTTTAATAAATAATTGATTTTATCTTCGTGTCCTTTTAAATAACATTTCTTTTCTTTACATATATCCTTCCATTAATATTTTCTCATTCATGCAATTGAATTTTAATGATATATTCAACTTATGATATTTATTATTCGAAAGAACTGTCAAAATTTTTCATTTTAAATTACATATAAAATTATTGAAAATAAATATTTATTTTTAATTTATATATATATATATATATATATATATATATATGTGTGTGTGTGTGTGACCTAAAACTTTCTCTTTAGTTTTGTTTATGAAGAAATTTAAAAGTTCAGATGCTTGAAAATTTAATTACTTATAATTTAATTCAAATTTTTAAAATTTTAAATACTTAATTTTCACCACATAAAAAATATATATTTAATATATGTTTAAACATTTGATATTTTAATATTAAATTTATTAAAAATAAACATTAGTTAAATTTTAATAATTTAAAAAGTTTAATGTAGATAATATTTAATAATTTAAAAATAATTTTGATAAACTATATACTAATATTGATATTAATTAAAAAATATTCATAATAGAAGAGAAGATGAGAGAGAGAAATAAAGAAGAGAAGAGAGAGGAGAAAGAGAGAGAAAGGCAAGAAAAGTGAGAGTGAAGATTGAGAAGCGAAAGAAAAAAAGAAAGATGAGAAATAGATGAAAGAAAATTATGTATAATCTTAAAGATTTTAATGAGATTATTGGTCGAATGAATTATATGTAAATTCTCCTAAAAAGTCTCAATCAAATTCATATTTCAAAATAATTTATTGAAGTATTTCTATTTTTGAATACTTTTATGTGAAAAAAATCTTAATTGTGTATTTTCATATTTTGATGTACTCTTAATTTTTTTTATATTTTTAATTAATATAATTAGATTTTGATAAACTCTTAAAAAAGTCCTAATTGTTTTAGTTGAATATTACATGAATTTTTATATTATTTTTATTGAATACTATAATTTTTTTTATAATAAAAAAGTCTTTTAAAATTCTAAATCAATACAACTCCTTAAGAGTTTTCTTTTTTTCTTAATCTTTTCTTACTAAAGAGATAAAAGGACAAAAAAAAAGAAGAAGAAAAGAGAGAACCACAATTAAGTCCCCCTCATATAAGAAACCCCTCTACACTCATCTAACAGGATATTATCCATAAATTCAAGAAACTCGTAAAGAATCACAAGACTGTTAATTCACGATATTAACAAAAAAGTGGAAAGTTTAAGGGATTAAAATAAATTACATAATTAGGTTAAATAATCAATCTTTTAGCTTACTTGTACGGTTATACACATAACTTTCTTTTCTTTCATGGTAGTGTTGTTTTGAAATTGCATTGTGGTTGGTCAAGGCAAGCTCCAACTTGCGACTCTCACTTTGAATTATTTCTCTTCATATGGTAAAGTGATCTCACTCCAAATCATTAAATGTTTTACACTTTTAAATTTTATAACATTGATTTTGCATTTTTAACATGTGACACTCATCTACCCCTAAATATGATATCAATTAAAACTCGTAAAAAAAAATTCAAATACGTCCTCATAGAGATCATAAATAGAATACATCAGTTCATTGAAAAAATAAATGAGAAGAGTAGTAATAAACAAATTATATTTCAAAAACACAAAATAACAAAGAATAATAAAATTCCTAAACTACTCCAAATCCTCAGTCACATTGGCATCAAAGTTCCACACACATCTAGACCTCTTGATGGAGCCTTCATGAGGAAAACTCCATGAACTTGAACAAAACTCCTCCACGGATCCTTGAGAGTGACGCAAGGATGAGAAACAAAGTTGGAGAAGCAAATGTAACTCAAGATGAACCACAAATCTCGAATAGAAGTAGGAAATCCTAATTCTACAAAGAGAAAGGCTCAAGGTGATTTGGAGAAGAATTTCTCCTTAGGTGACTTCGGTGAGAGAAACTATTCAAAGGATGAATTTATCATATATGCCAAAGTGAGTCAATTACACGGACCTATGAGGGATAAGGGATATATAGGCTAAGAAGTATGTGGGACAAGTTAGGCTTAATCCAAGGTTAAGTTAACCATGGTATGGTTTAGCTTAACCTTAGGCGCCAAAATTTGAATATTTAAATTCAAATTTTGGTGCCAAAACCGTCACCCATGTGCTACTTAATTTACATGTGATTTGGTTTACATTTGGGAGTGAATTTCGATCACCCCATGTGCACTCATGCACATGGCCGAAATGCTCTCCAAATGTAATGCTAATTACATGTAAATTGAGATGCA